ACAAAATAAATCTGACAAAGGTTGCTGTTTTCAAAAGGCCAACAGTTGCCATATGTTAGTAACTGGACGGTACTCAAAGAGGACATTAATGAACTGAGAATCTCAACCTTGCTAGAATTTGACTCTAATCTTTGTCCTACTTTGTTCTCTTAGGGCAATATCACTGTTTAAAATGCCCCTATCCTATGCTTGTGTGGTCTTGGTTCCTGATTCACTTTTTCCCCCCAGTCTAGCATTTGTGTGCTAGAAACTTTCACATCCAGATCCAGTATAGTTTTGCTGGAAAATATTGCCTGTTTACACTGATATCTATTTTTAAACCGAGTGAAGCCACAGTGGAAACAAAACACCTGTTTGCTATCACAGTGCAAGTAATGCTCTATATTGCTTGCTTTGCATCATTGCATGCAAGGATTTAACTGCAATGCATATTTCAGCACTTGGTCCTCCCTGTTGCCTTTGAGGAGACTATGGCTTTGTGTTGATAAGGCGGCGTGTTAAAACACCAGCTTTTCTAAAGCAGAGTTGGGATGGGGACAAATGGACCTCTGGATGAATTATACTCCCGAGGGCAGAAATGGCAATGATACGTTTAGGCCTGATAGCACTTGATGGAGTCTCCCAGAGAATACCAAAGCTGTAGGCTAGAACCACCTATGAGGTGCTTCCTCTTGTATTGAATTTGAATTTAATAAAATTTATATGCCGCCCAATCCCGTAGGATTCCGGGCGGCTTACAATACAAAAATAAAATAAAAACTAAATATAGGAAAAGGAAAAGATAGGTTTAAAAACAACACACCATACACTCAATCCTAGATGGGGCTGGACCTCATTATGGGGTCAACAGCCCCAGGCTTGCCAGAACAGCCAGGTTTTAGTGGCTTTTTGGAAGGCCGAGAGAGAGGGAAGGGTCCGGATCTCCGCAGGCAGATCATTTCACAGGGCTGGAGCAGCTACAGAGAAAGCCCTCCCCCGAGTGGTCGTCAGCCGGCATTGCCCGGAGGAGGCCCAGCCTGTGAGATCTTACAGGTCGTTGGGAGGTATGTGGCAGGAGGCGGTCCCGCAGATATCCAGGTCCTAGGCCATGTAGGGCTTTAAAGGTGACAACCAGCACCTTGAAGCGCGTCCGGAGACCGATGGGAAGCCAGTGCAGCTCGCGGAGGATAGGTGTAACATGGGTGTATCTAGGTACACCCAATATAGCTCGCGCGGCTGCATTCTGCACCAACTGTAGTCTCCGAACACTCTTCAGGGACAGCCCCATGTAGAGCGCATTACAGTAATTAAAGTAAGTGGTGGTCCACCAGGGCACCTACCGTAGATCCCTC